TGTCCGGGCTATGTCCCAGAGGTTTAGGTTTATAGAACAGGCGTGGGCTACAGGCATTACTGAGGTGTTGTATCTTGTTATTATTGTTTTATTAGCCTGCAACACTGGAAAGTGAGCGCAAGCATGGTCCAGACCCGCTTAGCTTGCACGGACAAACGTCATCTGATAGCCCATCAAGGTGCGTTCTACCAGGGGACATTCTGACTGGCAGTCAGTGCCCCAAATTACGCACCTGATGGACGTTTTAATAGGGCTACACAACGACGTTAGACACCACCGGCATTACTACTTTGTTCACCCTAGCCGAGCTCAAATGTGCCATCGAAGGTGCAAATCACCGCTCCGCCACAGAACATGACGGTCTTCCGTGCGAGGTGTACAAGAACCTGGAAGGAGGGGCAGTCGCCGACCTGCTGACCATCATCAATAACGTCTAAGGAAATGGCGAGATTTCTTGATCATGAAAACACTCGTTAGTAATGCCGATCCCCCAACCGGGGAAGACACCAACAGGACTCACCGCGCTTCGGCCTATATCACTGACACCAACCATCTGCAAAATATATTAGAGAATGTTGGCTAAACGTATCTCTTGGTGGCTCGAGTCTCACTGTCACTATCACCCTAACCAAATTGGCCCCCGAAAACATCTCGACACAGAAGATAGCCTCGACCGCCTTGCAGGGGAAACCCAACGTCTGTCGCCCTATAGCCACCTGGTCCGCATTATCGTAGCCTAGGACATGTCAAAGGCTTACGATAATATCGTACGCACCCCAATTTCGAAGGCGATGGTGACCCTCGGCCTACAATCTTGAGTCATAAAGGCTGTCCATGCTTTCAACACCCACAGGATAACGCCTTGCTTTCATCTTTACTCTCACCACCGATGGGACGACAGGACGAATTCCCATCAAACTGTGCCTCTAGGGTCGGTGCTTGCACCACTCATATTGAATATTGACTTCCTATCCCTTGTTTGCGCTTTCACTGATATACAATAACTTTGGTTTTTAATCTACGCTGATGATGTCATTATACGTATTCGGTCAGCGCATGCCTGGAGGTGCAACCAAATGACTTGAAGATCGGGTTGAAAATCTTTGAAAGCCATGCTACGACCTTTGGATTAAGGATATTCCCCTAGAAATCTCATTATCTTCATGTGTGCAACAATGCAGCCAGACACAAACTGCGATAGACTCCCCTCAAGTTGGAAGCAACACAGGTTCCGGTGGTTCCTTGAACCAAGATTTTGGGACTCTTCATTGACCAGTCCGGATCAGCCAAGCAGTGGCTCCAAGCGGCACGCCGGACGGCGGCGTTCACTTTGCACCTCATCCAATTTTTTTTCAAACACTGCGGCGCTGCGAGGACCGAGGTGACCCGACGCCTCGTTAAATGTGTCCTTCAGCCTCGCTCAATACATCAAGCGCAGTTTTAGAGTCTCACTTTATCTCAGTAGAAGTATCTTGAGATCATCTAGAGTGGCGCCATTCGTGCTATTACTGGACTCTCTCGGCATACCGCTTCAACGCGCCTGTACGAGTATTGCCAATTGATCACTGTTGAACAGCTGGTCTCTCAATGTAAGAAGGCCTAGGAGCTGAAGCATACGACCATCCATCTGCACGAGCAAGCACCTCGCTCTTTTCCGTATGTCGGGACTCACCCAGCACCATGGTACTGCACCGCAATTAGCACCAACAAGCACGAGAGCCCAAACGAGCCGGCTTTGGATGTCTAGGCTGACGGAGGCCACCTTTCGACAAGGCATCGCTACCGCAGTGCTTTGTCCATGTCAGCCCTCCTCAGATCAGAACACATTTATTAAAATTATTGGGTTCCGCCACACCTCTTGACTGAAGTCATCTGGTGTGACGGGATATGTCAGCCCTCCATTAACACATCAACGTTGTGCGCCACACAGCTGCACGATTCGCTCATCGCAGAACTATATGCATTCCGGTACGTAATCCAAGCAGTAAGAAGGACGCCCAATGTAACCCGGTTCCGCGTCCTTACTGACTGTGCCTCTGCGATTCGACATCACAAGTCAACGTGATCACAAATACGCATCTGTCATGACATCTATACTTGTCATCGTGCATCCCGCGTATAAGTCAGGGTTCACTCGGCTCCTGGCCATCAACATGGCACTCGCCAGGATAAAGTCAACCAGGCTGCCCAAGCACTTACTAAAAGTCCCCCCCCCCCCCCCCCCCCCCCCGGATCCTGCGTCTATTCCTGAAAAGCCGGGGGCCTCACTCGTCGTGGATAAGGCCCGTCTAAATCCTCGTTTACACACTTGCAGCCGAGTATACACGAACTCAATTCTGTTACGTCACGGCGCAGTGGTGGCGCGTCGGGCGCACTTCCGGTCTGGGGCTGTGGGCGGATGTCCCCATTCGAGACGTGCATTCGTGCGTTGTTTTCAAAAGAACCAGACAAAAGCCTGCATTCTCGTCAAAACGCCACGACTGGGACTGTACCAAAAAAGTCAAGAAAGGTTTTCATGTGCTCGGTTCGTCCGAGAACGGGATATGTGCCGTGAAAACGGAAAACCAAACGCCGTGGGACCACGATTGCTTGGGCGGGAAGAACTTCGGGTTGAATTCACGGATACTTGTGGTCCTCAGATTTATTTGTTTTAATCCAAGATGAACGCCGGAAAACTCAAGTTGTACAGACCACCTGCGAACTAAGTTTAATGCGTCTTGAAGTTTAAACGGCCGCCTGATCGTTCGAACTGTCGTCTGCTCTTTCAAACGTTTCTGCTTGTCGTCTGCTCTCTCAGACGACGCCGGCCCGTAGACCATATGTTGGCCCGGTACTTGCGATAAGAAGTAAGTGCAGGCCTCAAAAGACTTAAATGTGAAGGTTGGTAAGCAGGCTCGATGTAAACAGTAGATACAAGGAGATGTTGATCATTGTTACCAGTGACCATCATCGACTTGTTTTGCCTAATTCACTTGGTCCGATTCTGCTTGCGATTTTCAGTGTCGACGTCGACCATCTCAGCTACGGTTCACGCTTTTGCAGCCCGAGTGACGTCGCGACTGAAATTTACGAGCAAAATCTCATCGTGCGAATCAGGCTTTAGCGTCCATTCTGCGGCGTCCACGCGGAATGAATCGCCGGATGTCACATTATTAACGCGAAGTTTTGCGGTGTAACGAGCCTCGGTAATTTCGCTGAGGCCGCTGAAGTAGTCAGACATTGCCAGGAAGACGTAGAATCAACAATTCGAACGCGAAAAAGGGCGGGGGGACTCACACCCACGCCAACAACATCCCTATCCAATAGTTTGTTTATGAGCGACGGCGAGCTTCTTGCCCACACTCCATCGCGCATGCGCGGCGCCGGTGGCGTCCACTAGGGGCGCTCCGGTTTGTTTGAGACGAGGCCGGTTTTTAAGCCTCTTGCGACGGTTTAGGACACGCTCCGCAGCAGCGCATCTGGTCCTACGTCGTCGCTAGAGGCTTAAAAACCGGTCTTGCTTCACTCAGTCGTACTCGGTTGCAAGTGTGTGAACGAGCCTTGGTCGCCACGCGTGCATTCATTTCGGCATGCCCACATTCCCCCCCCCCCCCCCCCCCCCCCGGCCGACCGGTCCGGGTGGGACGAGGTCCTTCTCGAACGGATCCGGCGGATTCCGGAGTCACCTCTGCAGTACTGGCCCCATGCGGAGCGGGGGCCCAGTGATGCCAGTCCAGCTTGCCCCCCCCCCCCCCCCCCCCCTGCCCCATCGAGGCCTCCAGGGTGGGTCTTCGACACTTTCTCTGGAGCTGCTCAAACCTCCAGCACCTCCTCATAAACCTGGCCGCACCCACGGCCGCACCTTAGGAATGCCTGAAATGTACTACGCTCAACAAGCGTGCCGGAGCCCTACTGGGAATCATACCGGATGCCCACGTATTCATCTCATCTGAGCAAACATCAAGCCCTGCTTGTTGCACGAAAATAAAGAGTGACGCGTTATGCTAACCTCGTTCCATTTTGGTAACGTTTAGCCGCAACGTGCAACCTTGTAATTCATCAAGAGGCTTAAAAACCGGTCTTGTCTCAATCGGTCGTGAACGGGTCCTTACTCTTTTTGAGGTAACGACGCGAGTAACGAGGCTGCTTTTATTGTCACTTTTCAGTTTCTTCAGCATTAAGACATCATTGAACGAGAACAATCTAACCATTCCTTGCACTTTTTGAATAATGTTTTCCGACATTGTGAGCTTCATGGTCGCCCTATGAAAGCTTCCATAAACTTTACCTTCGTCCTCGTAATAAAATATGGAAGGGGGGGGGGGGGGGGGGGGGGGGGGGTCGGCGGGGGTTGGGGGACATTTTCTACATTTTTATTTCTAGTCTTACAGAAAAGTAACTTAGAAGGAACGAAGTCCGTTTTAAAAAAGTAATCGAATACATTTTTGTTGAGATAATTGCAAGGCTAGCTTCGCTACTCTTACCTAAAAGTAACTAACTACAACAAATATTTTTTTAATAACTAACCCAATACTACGTTTACAGGGGTCCTGCTACAAATGGGCTCTAGCCAGAGCAAAGAAAGCCGTTAAGATGCGGTAAAGCGGAAAAATAATGACAGACGTAAACAGACAGGGGTTTCACCCGCAGTAATGATGAGTATAATAAAAGTAAACACCAGAACCCTAATTTGTGCAAACAAAACGATTTTATTGGACATAATCCACTAAACTGTTTTCGCACGCTTACATTTACCCATCTCTTTTTGACTAGTTTTAGTTCAAAAATTAATTTCGTAAAATGACTGGATCGCAGGCGCAAGGCCGGCGGCGATGCGATAGAGAGCTGGTGATATTCTTATAATTCGCGTTTTAACTTCGCCGGCCTCGCGCTTGCTGCATGAGTGGTAACTTTAGCGCACTCTCGCGCTAGACCACTTGCTTCAAGTCGTCCTAAATTTGACTGATCTAGAAATTTTCTATGACGCTCAGCAAGTTTCTAGTTAGAATCACACGTGTTTGTTTTTAATAATCGGGAAGAAGTTAATTAGTCAGTTTTGGGTAGTCATTTTATACTGAACAACACGCAGCTCTGACGTCACATCGCTGCGGTGGCGCTGCTGTAGGCATAGAGCATGCGCAAACGATTCGCGCGCATCTGGTTTCTGCGCATGCGCTGTGCCAGCACCAGTGTTCTTAGCAAACGTCGACTTGTTTGTCAACAGCGTGTTGGTATATATACGGGGGCTTTAAGTATCGCTGGTTCCTCTCGAACCAGAATTCTAATTAAAATCCAGGAGCAGCGTCTGCTTCGTGGGAAGTAGCGCGACGCACAGGGCAGACAGCGTGACGAGGACCGCGGGGGTCGTGCTGAAGCCGCTGCCGCCGTAGCCGTCGAGCTTGGGTCGGGAGCAGCGTTTGATGTCGAACAGGGTCATGCGAATATCGTACAGGGCCTTCTTGGCCACGTCTGCTGACGCAGGACAGTTTGAGCCCGCCGCCAGTTCGCACTTGAGCGTCTCCTCGTCTACCCTGTTGAGGAAGAACAAGGTTCCTTGCCGTGATCCAACACAGTTACACTGTACACTTCTGCGCACACTCCCGCTGCCCGTGTTCAAAATACACCGGGCTTGCCTTCCGCTCATGTTCAGCGGACGGTGCTCAAGTGGCTCTGGGACGTCACGTGCGGCCATGACGTCACATGACGCTATGACATTGCGTGACACTGTGAAGTCACGTGACACTAAGTTTCCGCTAAATTTGTTGGGGAACTGTACTGGATACGCGCGCTTCTTTTTTATACGGTCTGTTCCGTAACAGGAGAAAGCGCGCACACTTTCCTGCGCGGGGGGTGCTGCGACCTGAGTGTCCTCAATCTATCGTCGCTGTTCTAACCTGTCGTTCAGCCGGGGCAGTTTCGCGGAGATCAGTGGCATCTGTTGTGTGCCATATGGCAACTCGACATCGGAAGGAAAGTTTTATGGTGAGTATTTACACCACCTACCCAACTATGGATCGCTAAGCACCGCGTGAAGCACTGCAGGCAGCTGCAGTTTTGCGTTCAACCGTCTTTAAACCTTAAGTTATGCAAGAAAGTAATTCTCGCGCGTGTGTAGGAGCCGGGCTCCGTCGATTGCGGCCGGGCACATGACTGAATTCGACGAACAGCGGCGGCGCGCGCTCATGGAAAACAGGAAAGGAGGAGAAGAAGGCAAAAGCATGAAAAAACGCCGCGGCGCGTGCAACGTCTACTTTCCTGCACGGTGAAAAATTCTTTGCACCTCGCGTGATCGATCCCGGCGAATAGCGGCGCGGCGGCACGTGGAAAACACACGCGCAACTCTGGCTACGGTAGGGAGCCTATACAGGAACTCTACCCGCGGCTACGCAATAGCGCTTCCAGCCAACATATGTGGCAGTGCCGCCTTGCAACCCATACGGGCTATCATGCCTCACTGGAGAGCCCGTAAGACAGTGAGCGCGCACCCATTCTGGCCGTGCTTTGACAGGCACGCAATCACTTATACATCACGAGCACCGACTGATTGCGAGCCCGCCAAAGGTAGGCGCTGAGAAACTGAGAGAGAGGAGGAGACATGAGAGCACGGGGACGTCAGAACGCCGATTTCTGATTGGAAGGATTAGCGGGTAGACCTAAAGGCTGAAGTCCCCGGCCTTTGTCACCACTGCACTCGTCGAACCCGTTCGAATGCGAGAGCTAAACGCAGGACGCCGACATTACGCGTTCTGACGCGTTCGACGAGGGCAGTGGGGACAAAGGTCTTTAGGTCTACCCACTAATCGTTCCAATAAGAGCTCGGAGTTCGGACGTCTCCTCCACGCTCTCGTCTCCTTCTCATTCTCAGTCCCTCGGGGCTATATCTCTGCTTGCAAGATTTCACATGCGGGAAGTTGGTCCCGGTGTCGGTTCTTGCTGTGTGTCGTTCACGGGTACATATCACATGAGCGAATGACGCTTTAGCGAACTGCGCCATTTGAGCGAATCGACGTTTTAGCGAATACCCCCCTCCCTCCTCCCCGCGCTGTGCTCACGCCGCTTCGCGGCGGCAGTCTGCGGCGGGTCATTACAAAAATGTTAACCCACTTGGCCCACCCGTAAACGCCGATTCGCGGCGGCGGACTATTAGCTAAAGTGTCTTTCGATGAAAAGTAGGCGTTCGCTAAAACGTCGTTCGACCAACTGAGTACCACCCGGTCGTTCACGTGGAACTATAGTTCTTAAATAAACGAACTCATCACCTGCAGAAATGGAGGTGTGGATCGCTAATGTCGATTTTCCGAGGATCCGGAATCTTCGACGTGCAGTTCTTCAAGGCTTCCTGGTTCAGGCACTTGTTCCACACTTCGGCGCCTGACAAACAAAGACGGGAGGGGGCAAATCGTTATAACACCGCGTTAAGTAGCTCGAGTCGCATGCAGAAAAGTCAGAGTCAATGGCGTGACGCGAAAATCCTGATTGGTCGATAGGGTCATGACGTCACAGCCACATGACAACGCGCGGGAATTTCAAACAACCCACAACGCTCACGTGAAACGTGACGTCACGCGTGGAATGAGGAAAACATGGCATGTAATTCGAATTATAGGTCGCCACATGTCTCAATTGATTTCACTAAAGTAGTTCATTTGCCTTAGAGAAACATTGGAAGAACTTTAGGTGGGACTCGAACAAACGTCCCTTCGGTTGCGAGCAAAACACGCTACTCACTTGGCCATGTCCGCCGCACTTTCTGCTCGCTAACCGGAAGCGCATGAGAAGCAAATAAGCAGGCGATGCGAACGACTGAGGCGAATATAATACACAGCTTGCACTGACGTCACATGGGCGGCCATTCTGGTGACCTTGCTGCTGAGCGCGTACCTTCTGGAGCATATATTTCACACTGCCGATTATGTTTTTCTTGGCAAGGGCAAGGGATAGCATCCAGTATGCCGCGTTGATGTCACGTGCAGTCCACGTATAGACTAAATGTGCGTTGAAACTATACTCTGTTTCAGCTTAAGCCCACACGTAGCCGACGCTACGAGCTAATGGACAAATCAAGCAGCATAGAAAGCGCAAGTCAATGGGTCTTTTTTGCATATAATTGATCCAGCGATGATAGCACACGTACAAAATCATGGCCAACAGCATGATGGTGCGCTCTTGACGCTGTTTGATTGATGCCATCATTTCGTAGCGTCGGCTACGTCTGAACGTAAAGTGAAACGAAGCATAGTTAACAGTGTTTCAGGAGTTCAAACGGGAGCTCCGGCAAAATAGTATTAATGGTCACTGATTCGCCTCAAAAGTTGGTTCTCCATATTACTCGACACACCTGAACTTGTAACCCAAATCACAAACACAATATTTTTATTTTTGAAAATACTGAGTTTTTGAATTTTGGTTCGAGATTTTGAAAGGCTCCACTGGCAACTTTGGAAACATGATGTCAAATTCGAAGAATTCTGTGATGCGCTGGACTTAGTGTTAGTTAATGCACAAGTAAATGCGACAAGAAAATTGTTGTGGCGGCGCCACTATCGCGAGGGTTATAAAAGAGCAAGCACGAATAAAGATAAGGTTGTTCTGCACCGGTACTGGAGAGTGTCACTTCGGCTGCGTCGGCAGCAACACAACAGTGGCGACGAGGATAAACGGAGTGACAAGTCAGAGCCACGAGCCTCGCGGTGCCGCCCCCCTTCCTGCCCGCTCCCGGGAAACCTGCTGCTCCGTGGAAGCAATGGCGGCGGGTGTTCAACAACTACCTGCTGGCCACGGGAGGCGACGCCAACGGACCTGCTCGGCGGAAGGCCCTACTTTTACACTGCCTCGGGGTGGAGGGCCAAAGAATCCTCTATACTCTTCCTGAGACGTTCCCTCCAGTACCGGAACCCAGTGAACCTCCTGCAGCCAAACAGTCTCCCGCTGCACCGGACGAGTACGATGTCGCTCTGGCGGCCTTGGAGAACATACTTCGCGGCGACTGCCAATGTGGTCGTGGCACGACACCGTTTCGGGCAGCGAGCACAACTCCCCGGGGAATCCATCGACGCATTTGTTGCCAAACTACGGGACCTGTCCTCGAACTGCGAACTTGGATCCATGGCGGACGAGTTCATCCGAGACCAGCTGGTGGCAACGACTTCAAGCCAGCAGCTACGAGAACGCCTTCTTCTGGAAGGTTCTGGTCTTGCGCTGGACCGGGCGCTGGTCATCGGGCGTCTGGTTGAAGAAGCAGTCCGCTACTCCAAGGAACTCGTATCGTCTTCAGCGGTGCAAAGGGTGAACGCTAAGACTACACTGAACGTCGGACGACCACCGTGTTTACGGGAAGGTGAGCCTTCATCGTCTACTGGAAAAAAGTGCTACCGTTGCGGGACGTCGGGACATCTAGCGAATTCTGCTATGTGTAAAGCGAGAGGCAAAGCGTGCGCTGCGTGCTGAAAAGTCGGACATTTCAGTGCTGTTTGCAAGAGTATCGCCGGACGCGGTAAAGAAGGCAGCGCTGTCAGAGAAGTTGCTTGTTCATATAGCTGCGAGGATGACGTCCTCAGTATTCTTCACGTGCAAGGAAAACCGAAAAGCGGTATCTATATCTCTGTCCGTGTCGAGAGAACGCTGTTATCCTTTTTGGTCGACACCGGGTCAGCAGTTTCGATAATCTCCGAAGATGCGTATCAGAAGAATTTTGTTTCTTCGCTTCGACTCAAGACTCGGCTGCTAAGTGGTTTGATTTTTCGCAACGGAAGATTGCGGTGAAGGGATGTTTTGTGGCCGCCGTCGCTTGCAGGGAGCGGAAGGCTGACGTACGCTTCTACGTCGTACCAAGGGGCACGAATATACTTGGAATCGACGCCGTCGCTTGCATGTCCCTCCAAATCAGTGGTCAGGGATTGAGGTGTTTCAACACTACATGCGTGAATTCGGGCCTGCCTCCGGAGCTGGTTGGGAAATTTGCTCATCTTTTCGACGGAACGCTCGGTACTGCGAAGGGATTCACTCACACAGTGAAGACGCGTCAGGGAGTTGAACCAGTGTCTGCCAAGTTGCGAAGTCTTCCTTTTGCTGTCAGAGACCAGGTCTCGAGAGAGCTCCAACGACTTTTACAGGCGGGCATTATCGAGAAAATTGACGCTTCGGAATGGGTATCGCCGATCGTTGCAGTGAAAAAGAAGGATGGAAAGGTACGACTTTGCGCTGATTTGAGGGAAGTGAACAAGGCTGTTGTGGTGGACAGTTTCCCATTGCCACACACGGAGGAACTGCTTCAAGCACTCGTCGGGGCAAGGTACTTTTCGAAGATGAATTTATCCAGCGCGTACCACCAGGTCGTCCTGAGTCCAGAAAGCCGAGACCTAACGGCGTTCCTCACACACGAGGGTCTTTTTCGTTTCACCAGTGTTTGCTTCGGATTGGCCTCTGCTCCTGCTACATTCCAAAAGATAATGACTACAATCCTGAAGGGGTGCAAGAAAGTTCTCTGCTACCTGGACGACATCGTTGTTTTTGGTGAAACGGAGGAAGAGCACCTCAGGAATGTGCACGAAGTCCTCCACCGCATCGACGAAGCGGGCTTGAGGTTGAACGACAAACGCATCTTCAACGTTCGCGAACTCTCGTTCCTAGGACACGTCGTCAGTGAATGGGGGGTGTTGCCCATGCAAAGCCATGTTGATGCTATAGTGAGAGCTCCGGCACCGACAGATGTCACCATGCTACGTTCATTCTTGGGTATGGTCGGCTATTATGCGAAGTTCATTCCACGGTATGCGGAGTTGGCGGAACCATTGCGAGAACTTCTACGCAAGGGGGAACCCTTCTGCTGGACAGCAGTTTGGGAAGAAAGTTTTCAGCGGCTGAAGTCTCTGCTTTCCTGCAGGCCACTTCAGATGTTCGACCCCCAGCTACCCGTGGTCGTGACGACCGACGCCTCAGCGTACGGCCTTGGAGCTGTTCTGCAACAAAAGAAATGAGAAGAGCTGGTGACCATTTCTTTTGCATCCCGAACTTTGACATTGCAAGAGCGGAAGTACTCCGCGGGAGAACGGGAGGCGTTGGCCTGCATGTGGGCGTGCGAACATTGGCGTGTTTTCTTGTGGGGTCGCCATTTTACGCTCCAGACAGATCATCAGTCACTGCTGACACTGTTGAACTCTCAGGAAACTGGCCAGCGCCCTTTTAGGATCGCAAGGTGGTACGCTCGGTTGCTGGCATACAGTTCCGCCATGGTTTTCAAGAAAGGAGAGGACAACTTTGTGGCAGACGCCCTTTCACGGATGCCTCTGGAAGGACCTAACTAAACACTGTGGGATGATGAGGTTGTGTGCGCTATTTCGCTGTGTATATCGCAGCAGGAATTTGCCAAAGAGACTCTGGAGGACAGCCGTCTGCAGCAGGTGGTGGCGTGGACAACTAGCACGTGGCCACCGAACAAGGAGTTGCCTCCAGATATGGCACCATTCTTCCAAGTGAAAGAAGAAATTTCCGTGAGTGAAGACCTGTTGTTTAGGGGAGATCGTGTTGTGGTTCCGACCGCTCTTACGGCGAAGAGAGTGTAGCTTGCGCACGAGGCTCGTCTTGGGATTACAAAAACCAAACAGCGTGTGCGCAACACGTGTCCGCAACACGTATTGGTGGCCTGGCATGGACAGGCACATTGAGCCGGCCGTCAAGTATTCCAGTGTTTGTCAAGCAGTCGACAAATCAGCAAAACCTGTCGTGCCTCATTTACATCCGGTCGAGTTCCCGTCTGCTCCGTGGGAGAAACTTGGTGTGGATATCGTGGGACCGTTTTCCAGAGGGCCAAGCGATTGTCGGTATGCTGTCACTTTAATTGACTATTTCAGCAAGTGGCCGGAGGTGTGCCTGACGAGTCTGGTGACGTCGGGGAAAATAATTGCCTTTCTACGGTCGGTGTTCAGCCGCGAGGGCTACCCCACCGAACTGGTCAGTTATCACGGGCCTCAGTTCGTCTCGGCCGAGTTCGAAGCATTCCTGCAGGAGCGTGGAGTGAAGCACACCTTTTCCTCAGTGTATCATCCACAGAGCAATGGCCAGATCGAGCGTTTTAACCGTGTCTTCAAAGACTTTGTGCAACTCAGTACACAAGAGCAGCGTCCTCTGAAGGACGCCGTGCTAGAATATCTTGGCGTCTATCGTTGTACTCCTCACGCAGCAACAGGCGAGAAGCCAGTCTTCCTACTGCACGGCCGTCACCCCAGGACGAAGTTGGACATCGTAGGTGGACCATCCGGAGACTTCTTTAGCAACCCGACAAGAAGTCTTGCAGTGCTACGAGAACGGGTGGCCCAATACCAACGAAAGTCCAAGGCGTACACGGACAACCGCCGTGGAGCCAAGGCCAGCCG